TTAAATGGGTGACTGCAGTAGATGAGGGTCAGGTGGGTCAGGCACAGCCGAGCATGCACATAACCAGCCTTACCCATCGCCCACAAACTGCAAGGACTCCTGGGCTCCCCAGTCAGCCCTGAGTGGGCAGGTGGTGACAGTGGCCAGTGTGGAAAAGTGGGGGCTCTGTGGCTGCTCTGGCACCCCAGGAGTATTTCTCCCAATGACCACTGGGTGGCAGCACTTCCCCAGGAATATTGCAGTGGGGTGGGGTATGAAATGAGCCCTTCCAGATTGAATCTGATGCTGGGAGCACAGGGATGGAATCTTGGAGGGGACCCAGGCCCAGAGAGGGGTTGGAACTTGCCCAGGGTCACACAGCTTTTAGATTTCGGGCCCAGTGAGAGGTCACCTGCCTGCCTGGACGTACTCAGGAGGAGCAGCGGGGGAGAAGGAGGCGGGGAAGCAAAGCTTAGAGAGAGAGGGTCTGAGCACCAGTCCTGGCTCAGCCTCCTGGAAGTGGGCAGATGTCCTCACCCTGACTTTGACCCCAGAACCAAACCCTACCCATCCTTGAAGGTGCTCCAACATCCCACTCCGAGGCCCTTGCTGACCCCTCCTCACCTGTGACACTGGCAGGAGTGGGGTTTGCCCTGTGCTCCCACCAGGACTTGCACAGTGACCCCATCATGCTAATCACCGCCCCCAGCTGTCTGTCTCCCCTGACAGACTGTGATTTCCTGAGGACAGGGACTGTGATTTGTACCCCCCACTGTCCCCACCATGGGAACGCTTTTCCCCTTTTCCTCCTCTTGGCCTTGCCACCACCGGTACCTTTCAGGACTCAGCTGAGATGCCACTTCCTCCAGGAAGCCTTCCCTGGCCTTTGGACTGGCGGGAGCCCCTCCTCTGGGCCCACATACAACACCCTGGTGCCATCTGGGATGGTGAGGCCTCTGGGGCAGGAATTGTTGGTGCCCTGAACAGGCTCACCTGAGTATGCACAGACACTGGACTTCCTGAGCTTCTGACACAGTGGTCCTCCAACTGCAGTAAGCACTGACGTCACCCACGGAGCTTTGTGAAAATGCAGCCTCCAAGCTCTCCCCTTCCCTGGAGATTCCGAGCCAAGAGGTCTGAGATGCAGCCCAGGAATCTGCACGCAGAGGCCTGAGCATCTTAAAGCCCTTTCCATATGCCATAATCCTTGCCCTCTGATGGTTGGGCAAAATAACTATAGTGAAGAATGACAATAAAAGCCTCTGACATCAGTGCCATGTGACTTGCTCACAAAGCACGTTCACACCTGCTTCTCCTCTTTAGCTTCATCTTTATAACTATTATCTGGGGAGGATCATCATCCTCACTGTACAGACACCTGAGGCTCAGAGACAAAGGGTGACTTGCTCGAGGTCCCTCAGCTAAAACAGCAGAGCTCAGATTTGAGATGGGGTCATCCTGGGGTGGGAGAGTTATAGCCTACGTTAAAGCCTCTGGCTTTGGAGGATGCTGTTTTTCAAAAAACCAAAATTCAGGACCTATACTCTGCCTGGCGACTCCAGCCCTATGGAGGAAGTTCAGGTCACAGCCACTCTCCAGACTCAAGCCCTCATCATCTCTTTCCTGAGACATCCAACCCTCCTGACCCTTCTCTGCCCGTCCAAGTCCTTTCCTCCTGGGCCCAGAGAAAGTGTCATCTCATATAAAAGCCAGAGCTATTTCTGCAAGCACTTGATTAGCAGCTGGGTGTTGTGCTAGGCTCTGTGGGGAATTCAGAGAAGGGTAGGAACCTCTTCCTCACCAGGGACTTCCTACCCAGCTGTAAAGACAAGGCGTGCTGGGCCAGCCCGTGGCTCATTCGGGAGAGTGCGGTGCTGATAATGCCGAGGCCACGGGTTCGGATCCCACATAGGGACGGCCGCTTAGCTCACTGGGTGAGCATGGTGCTTGAAAAAAAAAGACAAGGGGTGCTTACTTCAGTGATGGGATAGGTGCTCAAACCTTCTTTCTTTTTCTTTTTTTTTTTTTAAAGATGACTGGTAAGGGGATCTTAACCCTTGGCTTGGTGTTATCAGCACCACGCTCACCCAGTGAGCCAACCGGCCATCCTTATATGGGATCCGAACCCATGGCCTTGGTGTTATCAGCACCGCACTCTCTCAAGTGAGCCATGGACCGGCCCTAAACCTTCTTTCCCCACAAATAAATTCATGGTCCCAGCCTGATGCTCTAAATTGGCTGGAACAGGTTCCTGTGCTGTGTGGGCTGAGACCCTCCTCCAATAAAAAAGTGAAGTGGGTCATGATATTTTCACACCAACGGATATTCAAAAACAATTCAATTTTCTTTTTCTTGTTTGTCATAGTGACAGCTGTTGATGGATTCCTAGCATCCTGTGGAAAATGGGAGTGCCAGGGATTATAAAGTCAGTCGAGAAAGTGAAGCCAGGGAAAAGAGGCAGGGAGAAGCATTTTATAACTTGTCAAGATATGAACCCTACATCCCAATTTTAAAAGGAAAAAAAAAACTCCCCAGAAAAAAATACAAGTATATAATAAGTTAATCACTACAGAATCACCTCAGGGAAACAATGAAGGGATTTTACAAGGTGATACATGACAAATCGACAAGTGAATGAATGGCTCAAATATCAACTTCAGGAGCTCAGAAAAAGGAGCAAGATTTGTGAGCTGACATTTTCTGGTAAGGCTGCCTGGAAGAGGCGGGGTAGAACTGGGCCTGGAGACTGGGGAGAACAAGGCAGAATAGAGGGGCATTGGCATATTGCCCTCACCTGGGAAGAGGGACCAGAGTGAGTTGGGGATTTGGAGGTTCAAGTGACATCTGTGCCATGTGAATTGTTTACAAAGCACTCACACCTGTTTCTTCTTTTAATCTTGACCTTCACAAATACCTGTTGAGAGAGATCATTTTTCTCATTCTACAGGTAGGTACCTGAGGCTCAGAGTCAGGCAGAGACTTGCCCAAGATCCCCCAGCTACAAAATGGTAGAGCCTAGGCTTGAGTTAGGGCTGTCTTGGGGGGTGGAAGAGTCACATCCTTGTTAGAGTCTTTGGGTTTGTAGGCTGCTGCTTTTAAAACTGAAATTCTGGGCCGGCCTGGTGGCACACTCGGTAGAGTGGGGCGCTTGGGAGTGCAGTGGCGCTCCCGCCGAGGGTTCGGATCCCATATAGAGACC